TTTTTATTTTAGAAAACTATTTAAACAAAAGAGATGTAATACAAAATTAGGTAACTTGAAGAATTTCTGGGCAAATTATTTGCGGCATACAGTTTTTAACAGCTTTCTGATTTCTAATTTACATACGATGTAGTATAGTGTATTGTGTATGAGTAGTCATCACACAATTTTTTAAAATGCGACTTATGCAAATATTGTCAACGACCAATTTTTAAGCCTCATTTCGAAATGAAAGTAAAACTGTAACCCAACGACGATGCCGGCAGAGAGGGAAAATATTCCATTCACTCGTACAAATGTATTGGTATGTTGTGAAGTGCTCAAAAAAATATTCCATATAAATGCGAAAAATAAGTGAATGAGGTAAGCTGCTCCCCCTTGCCACGACCAGGGAGGAAGGAGCGGAGCCGAGGCAGATAGTTAGGTAGCGAATACAAAACATATAACGGCAATGGCAGCGACGACAACGGAATTTGGAGCGGTGAGCAGCATGGACGGTTGTGGCACAGTTGAACTCAGCCGACTTTGGCTGAATATATGTAAGTACGTATGTATGTATGTATATTATATGGTGGCCATGGTTCACTGGGTTTTTATGTTAATAAATAAATGCCAGATATAAGTATGTGGCACACACACACACACACACACACACCCAGACACACAGTCTCACATATGTTTTCATAGAAAATGAAATGCAACTAAATGTGCCACACACACTCAGACATCGCCAACGAGCAACATTTTTGCAGCCACAACATTGCAAACATCGTTTTCTAGTTCAATTCCAACTAAATGCGACCAAATGGACGAAACGGGCGACAGCTGCTGCAATGGATATGTTGCCACACACATGTGCAGAGAGCGGGAGAAGAGGAAAATTGCGGGGTAAGGGTGTGTTGTGCCTCTTTTATGAATAGCCGTCATTTGTTTGCCCATTCCGCTTAACTCGCTATATTATCAAGTTCTCTTTAAATCGAGCCGCACGTAGGCAAAATTAGGGTTCGATTTCAATTTCCAAATATATATATATACATATAAATCGCAGATGCGATTCCGGGACTCTAAGTGGAAGGTTGTGAACAATTAGGGCTGTGAACAATAACAAATAAAAAAAAAAAAAAAAAAAAAAAAAAAAAAAAAAAAAAATAGAAGCTTGACAGCCTCCCTCCCCCTCCCATGGTAACAACACATACTATACATATCTATATGACGGAATGGATCCATTTAGCGATTATAGTCTCTACGTCAATTAATACTCACAACATAAGGTTGAACTTTTTTCCACTAAGCAATCTGATTAACGCTGCCAGTCTATTATATATGTATATAGTTTTCATAAAATAAAAATGATTTCAAAAATATATTAAATGTAAGTCAGTTTTTAAAACGTTTAAAAATCTAGTTAATTATATCTATAATATTTTTAGCTATTTAATGTCAGTCCAACAAAAGGAAAAATAACTACATAATGAACTCATATAATTAATATTTTAAAGTGCACACTCATTATCTTTTCTTTGAAACAACTTCAGTGTAAATTTCATTATATTTTGAGACTTTCTTGGATATTCTTTCAAACTTTCTAAAAAAGTACCTACACCTAATTCTGTTTTTACACGGTAGAAAGGTCGTGTACAAAAAAGAGATTGATCATATGCAAAATGAATCGTGCTAAATGGAACAAAGTCGTGTAACATTATATACAGTTTTTAGTTTTAAAACAGTGTTAAATCAAAACTGTGTAAAAACATTACAATTAGGTGTATTTGTAAATGGAAACACAAGACACTTTCATTTCATTTATCTCAAATACGGGAAGTAAAGAACAGGTCACTTTTTCTTTATCTGCATTAAAAATAAAGAGTAAAGCTCTTAATATAAGTACGTAAAAGAATGGTTTGATATATATGTACATTATATTTTCCAAAACAGTTGGCATTGGTTTTGACTGTCCTTACATCTGTCCTTACAATTCCGCACTCAAAATCCATCTGTCGTCTTTGTTTTTAGCTAATGATGCAAAAACTCGGCTTGACATGAAATTCAACAAATATTTCTTCACATTTCTCTCTGTGGTCAATGAACTCTACTGCATTCATGAGCCAACGTTGAACCACAAATGAATTTAATTTTCTAATTAGCTTCATTTAAAGCTTCAATAAATGTTTGCTATTTCACATTTTGACAGCATTCCTATTTCATGGCTTAAGTTGGGGAAAGTGTGGCAATAATTTTCACCATAAATTGATGGCATTTCCATTTACAAGTCAGAATGAAAACACCGACAATTTGCTCTACAATCTCAGGACAACTTGTTAACCCAAGCGTCCGTTTGCGAGGAGTTCCTTGCCACTTTAATTGCGTGTCTCCGACGGCACTCCCTATTATCAACTTTAAAATTTATTATAATCGCTCCTGGCCCCACTTAAAATTGATGCACTATTTCCACCACCAGAGACAAGGAAAACTTTTCAACATGCTGACCCAAAGCGCCAGGGCAGGCACACAGTCGGAATATTGTACAATCATAGATACGTACTATATGTAGAGAAATGCGGCAAAGGCGGGAAAACAGGAGAAAAAAAAGCGAAAAAGTTCTCAAGCAATTATAAAATCCAGCAAAGAACACAAACACACACTCGCATAGTCATCGTTGGATCGGAAGAACAACAAAGTAGCTGCAAGTACGTGGAGTCACGTAATAGGTGCATGTCAGGGGGATGAGGCGCAACGATTGCAAAGAGTGGGGCAAAAGTAAAAGTGGCAAGCGGGCGTTCAACGGAAGGGGTGTGGCAGCTGCTGCCGTTGCATAGAATTTATGCATGTGTGGGGCATATGACATCATCGAAGAAAACGGAGACGTTCCCCAGCGCCACCATCGTCGCCACTAATATTGCCAGTTTCAAAATGGAGCTAACGGACGCATATTTCAATCCACATGGAATTTTTATTCCCGCTGAACGTCGCTGACGCTGCGTCAGTCCAATAAATCTGCATTAGCAGCGACTGTCAACGCATAGGACAGATCGAGCCTTTACGGCTCCCGTTACCCAGGAGTTGGCTCAAGGCCAACAAATGGCACACGCACTGCAGCAATGCCCACTGCGAATCATACTCTGGGGCTCTGGTTAATGCCACTAGTGTGGCACGGCAGTGTGGGGCAGCAATAGTAGTGCGAAGCTCCCGGAGATTGTTGCCACTGTTGCTTCCTCGTGGTTTTCTGTTGTTGACAACAAAAGCCAGCAAAACACTTGCATAACAATGCCCAACCAAGCGCCGTCAATGAACTGTTTCAAATTGTCTTGAACTGCAGGCAATGGGGTGTTATGCACTAGTCGGAAAATACTATAGTTTAACTATATATTTTGCTAAGCAGAGAAAGGCATAGCACCAATGCTGCAGACTTCCTTACACTCCCGGGCAAGCAGTTTTCTCTATAATTGAAAACGTGCTTTTAGCGCTTGAAGCAGCAGAAGAAAAGTTGATAATATTTAGAATTTTATTTCATTCCTCATTATACACTAATAACAAGGGAGCCTGCCAATCTTAATTTAACTTAACTGTTCTAAATGCAAGTTTATGACTTTTATCCGGTCCAGACCATTGCAACGTATATTCACAGTTGAAGATCTTGGAGTTCTTTTTGATCCCATATTGAATTTCAATCTTCACATCTCCACTATCGCTAACAAAGCTAAGGGTGTTCTTGGTTTTATTAAACGATGGTCCAGAGAATTTAACCACCCCGGTTCGGTGTCCTCAGTATAAATTGCATCAGGATCGAATTGAGTCGGTCCAGAAACAATTTCTTCTTTTTGCTCTTCGTGGTCTAAACTGGAATCCTAATCTGCGATTACCGTCCTACTCCAGTAGACTTCTCCTTATTAACTGGCCTTCTTCAGCTCACCGGAGATGGAGGAATCACTCTATGCTTTAGGTCGTATCAATTTTTCTATTCCTTTCAGGCCAACAAGGAACTTTTTGCCTCTTCTACTTAACAGATGCAGTGTTTATGCCATGCATAATTCTTTTCGAGTATTATGCGCTAATTATAATACTTTTTTTTTTTTAATCTCAAGTGAGGCTCCTCTGCCCTCACTAAAATCTTCTATTTTCAGCTACCTCCGGCAGAATCACTGATCACCACTGCTGGGAGGAAGGACATAGCTTGCCCCCAAAGGGGCAAGTGATTTTTCACCTTTAATTTTTAATTATATTTTATCCCTTCTCTGTTTCTCTTCAGCTTCATAATACAATTGATAAGGAAGTACTTGTATTTCTCTGAGTGTAGAGGGAATAGCTGGGAATAGCTGTCCGCGGCAGGTTGCAACACATTCCGCACTGACACACATTTGCCACTGCAGCAACCGAAGCAACAACAGCAACCACAACAACAAGAACAGCAGCAGCGACAGGAGCCGCGGCAACAGGAAAAGGAACAATCGCTGCCAGTGCTAAAGACAAAGGGACGTAGAAATGAAATAAAGCGCATGGCAAAGTTGCTGCATTGCTGGCAGCGAGGGGATGATGCACTGGTCTATTGGTTGGGTCACGCGCTATGACAGCAGCGCGCATTTCCGCACCTGATGCCTCCTGTCGGTCCGTCTGTGTGGGTGTTTTGGGCAAAAAGTGAAACGTGCACGTGACAAGTGAAACGGACGGACAGCTGCTGCGGCTCATTAAAGTTCTCCAGGGAACTGGCCTGAGCCCAAGCTGGTTGTGTTTATTTAAGTCTGTTCATGTATATATGGTTTTATCTGGCAATTTTTTTTACAATGAACGAGCGATAAGATAAATACACTAATGAAAGATTGCACGGCTACTACGAAGAAATCAAGGTTGGCCACCGGCTGCCTCTGCCCAGTCACGCCACAGGCATGCGCCCCTGATCCATCATTATGAATGAAGAGTGTACGCAGATAAGCTTCGTCCGTAATACATAGTGGGAGTGCAGAAGAAGAAGAAGAAAAAAAAAATAATGTAAAAAAAATACTTACGCCTCGCAGTATGGCATTTTGTTGTAGCCCTTGTAGGTTTTCATATTGAGCGCCATGCCGCATTCTGTGCATTTGAAACACGTTTTGTGCCATGTCTGAAACGAAGGCAGAGAAAAGAAAATGTGTGTTAAGAATTGTGAGCAAATTGTTCAAATTGTTGAAATGGTTGTGGTTGGCGTTCGCAAATTGGCCGTCAAGCATTTCTGCAGCATCAACTGGCAACCGAGAAGCTGCAAGCTGCAACCTGCAGTCCCAAAACTAACTGCAACTCTGCAATTGGGCATACATTTTTAATAATAATTGGATTCGGCTGAAACACAAACTCAATAGCACCGAGCTCTTGGCTTAAAGCAAGTTCTTTGCGCTATATTAAGCATCTATTTAGCGTGTTTTACAAATAGTCGATGCATTTAAAAATGCATAGTTGATTAGCATAGTTGGATAGGCAAGATACAAATAACCTCCCCTCTTAGATGAATAGTACTCGTAGAATAAAAGAGGAAATTGAAAAATTGAGAACTTTTTTCTGTAGCATTCGCCAACCACATTATACAAGTGGAAGGCATCCATATTTTCCACTACATAATAGTATTCTGAAAAGTGCAATTTTATATTGTTTTTGGTGTGTAAGTTTCTTACCCCCAGGTGGACGAAGAGTAGACTACATGTTAAAACAACATACGGCAAGACGAATTAAAATTTGTCAGTTCCTATTAATCATTCTTCATTAAGACTTAGCACAGAAGCTTCTTTTTGGCGGATACAGATATTATTATATCGAGACCAATTATGTCGCTTTATTATAAAACAACTTGCTTATCTAAATCTAAATCCAATTGCCTTCTGAGTATGTTGATGGTTTTGGTTGCGAATGGTGATCATGAATGACTAAAAGCGATATACTTGTAAGTAGTTAATACTTCTTCTGAAAAATAGAATAGTCCAGAAACGGCTGTATAGATCGCGTCCCGGAACATGGAGGAAACTAGTTTTGTTGTAAGGTAGAGTGGAGAGTATATAGCTTCGGTGCAGACGAAGATAACTTTTTATCTCCTTCTATCTAACATTTCAGTCCCTAATTAAGGGTAACTTTAAGAACTGAGTATTCAAAATAGTTATTAAATGTATAATAAATGTGTAATTCCTAGAAGGCTCACGTCATTGAAATAGTTTTCTAAGTTTTCTTATATAAATAACTCATGAATTATTAAACTTTTTGGAGGCCCTAAAGTATAAAAAGAATTGAATATATTAATAGAAGTCTCATTAAATACTTATAACAAAGCTTAAACGACCAATAACTGAAAAAGCCTTTTAATAGTTAAAATAAATTAAAAACATGACCAAAAACGTTAAAATCTACTAAAATAGTAATAAAATTTAATTTTTTTCTAACCGAAAGTAGTTTCAAATTTAAATTTAATTTTCAAAGCTAGAGATTGTAGTTCTAATACCAGATAGGGAAAACCTGCTAGATCTAAAACGGCAAATCGTCTGCAGCGCATTAAGATATTAAATCAATGATTTACAGTGTCTAACACAGAGGAGGAAGGCAGAACAAGCCACAAATCTTGGCCAACGACTTACAGCAACCACAGACACCGAGCGGATAGTTAGACAGGGAATTATCTAGACAGACAGACAGACGACAGAAAGACAGACAGATGGATACAGCAATGGCAAACATGGCCATAAGCGCTGATGAGAATTGGCGTGATATGTGACTCCATCAAGGTGCGTCTGAGTCTGCATCTCCATTTATGCAAATTTATGCAACGCCTGTCGACTCTTTGGCAACGTCTTTTCTTCCACTGGCAACGCGGAGGTCAACAAACGATTAACTTGTCTGCGGATTAGCAAAAACCGCGTACTCGCTGCCAAGAAATATGCGTTAATTGATGTTGTTGTTGGTTTTGCAGCAGCTTAGACATAAACTCAATCTAGACACACACCCAACTAGCTTCAACCTCTAATCGAGAGCTCGCGACGTGAGAGAATGTTGTGAATGAGACGTGCAGGCAGCAGCAGCCGCTGCCGCAGTAGCAGCAGCGCGATAAAGTGATTTCAACACCCGTTGCAAACTCGTTTTCAAAAGACACAAATTAAAAAGTGTAAAATATATATATACATATATAGGAAAAAAGCATTTAATTGCCGGTAAATAATAGCAACAGGCGGGGCGACCACATTCCACTCCGAAAGTCGAAAGCGAAACAATTTTTTCCGCCATTTGAGCTTTGGCTGCTCGCGGCGGCGGCGGCGACGGTGGCGACGGCGGCGACAAGCTGGCAAATTATGGGCGAAGGGCAGCAGACAATCAACAACAATAACAATAATAATAACTATATAACAACAATAAGAAGAACGGCAACAGTAAGAAAAGTAAAATAAATGAACGGCTTGGCTTTGTGCGACGTTAAGTCGCCCGTCATAACTAACTTTCATCTTTCTTTGAGACGCATGCGTAACTCACACACACACACGCACTGGATCACACACACACACACACACACACACTCACCTACATAGTTAAACTACTGCATTTTCAGTTGGTGCCAACATAATCGACCGTGGTTGTTGCTGTTGTCGATGCTGACCACCGTTGTCGGCCGGTCACAAATTTTACTTTCACAAAAATGCAATAAAAACCAATGGGACCGTGTATGAGTGTGCGTGTGCATGTGTGTGTCTGTGTGTTGTGGTGTGTGTGTCGCATGTTGAGGTAATCACTGCACGGCTGCATTCAATTTCCTATGCTCAGACTCTTTAACCCACTTTTGAAGCCCTACGTGCGGTCTTTTGGCTCGCTTTTCAATTTGCAGCTCAATTACAAAACGTTTAAAATGCTTTTGTTTTCATATCGCGCCGCAATGAGTATTTCAGGTTTAATCAGATATTTGTAACACATAATGATTTGCAAATGCAATTTTTTAGACTTAAAGGCAGCACTGAGAATGTATTCTTTATCTAACAGTGATCTTTATAAAGTCTATTACATGTGATATAATTATATTCTACCATATGTTTACTGGAGATCTTTATAAAGTCTATCTCATGTGATAAAAGTATGTTCTATCAGAAATGTAAGTTCTTTAATTAAAAAAAAAAAACAATTTTGGGAGCTCTAGGTATTATTCCTGAGACAAGCCAGTTTATAATACACCTAATTCTGTTTTTACACGGTTTACAGATTAGTTCCAGAAAAAGTTGTGTAAAAAAACCGTATAAAAAAGACAGTGATCATATGTTATTTTAAATCGTGCTAAATGGAATAAGGACGTGTAACCATATAAAAAAATTTTAATTTTCAAACCGTGTTAAATCAAAACCGTGGAAAAAAAGAACGTGTAAAAACAGAATTACGTGTATATTCGACACAATGGCCACCCGAAATCGTTAAAAATGAGCTTAACAGCCAACATCTTCCAGTAATGCCGTGGTAATAAATATGGAAATAAATATGCTTATTTTAAATAATGTCACAATCTCAAAAGTTGCAAATGCCTCAAATATTAACTATACATCTATTGATGAGTTTGATTTACTTAATTTATTTAATTTAAATAAAAGCCTAGGCCTATTGGGCTAAGTAATAAATATGCTTTATGTACTTCAGGTCATAGCCCGATCAGTCAAGAAGAAGAATTTGAATTATATTTTTTACTATCCCTTTGTGATTGTTTTGTTTACTGGAGATAAATACTACTATATGTATAGTATACGTGTATTTAATGTTTGAAACATGCCGACTAGATTAAATTCTGCGCTCCCGAATGGAACGGTTATTCTGCCCGTACAGGTATTTTTTATATCAAAATTATTAAACATTTTCAGAGATTGTAACCGTTCTCGTGTAGTTCTTTGCTTATGTTATTTAAGTTGCATTTTTTCAAAATATGTTCAATTTTAAGGAAAGAAAACACAATTCCAGTACAATTTACTTGTTGAAGCAATAATAAACCAATTTTTTTGAATGTGTTGTAGGCGTGTAGAGGCCGCCCTAACTCAACTAAGGATACGCTCATTAATTTTGTAAATTTTTCTGCTTATGAGGGCATAAAGTATTCGGCGACTCAACGATATACTCGTATGTGGCAGTGTTTTCTTGTTCTTTTTCGCCCCTTTTGTCAACCACGACGAGGTGTTAAATTTGCGTTCGAATTTGCACGCTTTCAACATTTAAAACGCTTCAATTTTCGCTGCTGTTCAGTTCTTTTTAAATATATTTTTTTTTATCGCTGGCTTTTGTGGCACGACGCCGAGTGCGGCACTCGAGCGCATAAAAACAATTGGCATGAGCCAGCGAACATAAAGCACAGCCAACAATAACAACAAGCGTGCCTTTGGATTGGATTACCGCCAGTTACAACAACAACCACAGTAAAAACAAGAGCGACCAGCAAAATGAAAAATGAGGGCAGAGCCAAATAAACAGCAACAACGGTAAAAATCTATTTATAAACAACGATGGCGTTAAGTGTCAAACAGATCGCCTTCGATTTGTAACATCGAACACTTACAAATGTTGTTTGCTTGAACGGGACGGTTGGCGGCTGGGAAAGTGGTGCCGGAAGAGAGCACCACTCTGCAAATAATCCCAAGTGGTGCAGCAGCGAGATTTGGCTTTGATTGTATCTCAAACGATTTACAGATTAACCTATAAATCATAAGCTAGAGGTAAAGTGTGTTAATTTGAATTGAACACGAGAAGCTAATAAATCACATTATTGTTGGAAATTGTGAATGATGGGAGTCGATATTGCTTATTCAACATGTGGAAGCAAGATGGCTACAATAAATATAAATCTTTATCGAATACAAAGACGATTATCTACTAAAAAACTGTCTCTGTAGCCTGCACAAAATATTAACAAACTTTCAATCCGCTTATTTAACTTATTCAAAAAACGAAAGATTCAGAGAGAGGGGCTCTAAGGAGGGAACCCCACATCCTCAATTTTAAATTTGTCAATGTGAAACTCATAGTTAGGTGTTAAGGGTGAAGCAAAGGACTTTTAAAACCAAAGAAATCGCAAATTATTGTAATAATTTATTAATTTATGTTATTAATTTTTTATAATTTTGAAGTCAATTG